ATATATATATATAGTGTATAGAGGGAATATGTTTTTGGGAACATATTTATTTTCAAGATACATCTTGTTTATTTGTAGGAAGTGTACAATATTTAGTGTTAAGTATGCCTAGTACTGCACCGTCAGCAATGTAATGTATGTAGTAGTGTTACCTCAGGGTTAACAAGCTGTTGGCGGTTATGTACCAGACCCCAGGGAGCAATGCCTATAGGAACCACTTTATTGAAAGTGACGGAAGACACTGCAGTGGCATGATCTCTCACAGCCTCTCCTACACACCTGCCGATGCCTTCCCTCAGTCCTGCGGTTATGATCCACGCTCCTATACATCCAAAATCAAAATCCTACCTGCGTCTGTGCATCTCTCAGCAGTGTTCAGCAGCAGCGTCTAGCGAATCTTTAAGTTGAACTGCTTCAAGAACCTCGCTACTGAGAAATGTCATGTAGTTTTTCAGCTGCGAAAACTATTTTATTGATAAATTCGCGGGGCAGCCGCAGCTCTGACAACAAGTTTCTGTCTGCGTCTCTGCGTGTGTGCGCGAGTCTGTCTGTACGGTGTCTGTGTGTACGTCTGTGAGAGAGAACGGGAGAAAGAAAGTGTGATTTCTGTACATAAAAAAGGTTGAGACATGGAAATAGTTTGTCATTTTTACCCTATTGTTTGTTATATTTATTTGCTCAATGTCTTCTGGGGTTTTAATTCTTTTACTGTTGTAGACAGCCCATAGTATAACAAAAATATTATATATCTCTTCATTGTGTTTGGGCCCCCTGGACGAGCAAGCATAGGCACGTGCCTAGAATGCCTATGCGTAAATCCGGCCCTGAGCGTATAGCACTAGTCAACTAAATGAATGTAACATGGCAAAGATGAATGCACTTGTATTTTCAACAGTTTCAATATGAAAAATAACTTTTATATTGATTCAATGGATTTATTGCATTTTTTGGGGGGAAAAAAAAACACATTTTTACTCAAATTCATCAAAAATGGATTTATAGCGTTTTGGAACCAAACTCTTCACATACATATATATACATACATATACATATATATATATATATATACACACAATTCATTTAAATCTGATTATGTTGCATAGAACTGAATAAAAATATATTGATATTTAATATTAATATAGTTTCTGTCCAGTTTTATTGTTTTACTTACAAAAAAAGTGTGGTTATTTTTATTGGCTTGTATTTTATAAAGTTAAATTTAAAAGTTTTTCGGCCAAGTGCACCCAGAATTTTCCATTTCGGCCCAGAATTTTCATTTCAGTGCATCCCTAATAATATATATTTCTATGTGTGTGTGTGTCCGTCCCAGACCACTAATATCAATAAAGTTTTTGTTTGTTTGTTTTTTTTCATATCTCATACAGGATTCATCCAGGCTCACTACAGCCACAATGGCATTAATTTGAACATATATATGAGGAACTCACATAGCTGTGTCTCTTGCCGGCTCCTGCAAACTCCAGTTCTCCATAGGCATCTGTGGGCTGCTCGGAGGAGTGCTGTGTGCTGTCCCAGTGACTGACAATGGCTGTGCTGAAGTAATCACCCAGGGCCACTGAGGGGTGGAAGTCTCGCGTGGCCCCACACTGACACAGACCGCCATTACTACAAAAAAAAAAACAGTCGGAGGATCTGTGCTCTGACGAAGAGGTACTGAATACTCACTAAAAGTCAACCATCTTACCTGAAAGAGTCCTCCACAAATGTTGTGCACACTCTCTTTTTAAAGAACACTGGAATCCAGCTCTAAAATCAATAACACATACTTTTAAATAATACACTATAAAACATGATACAACTGTGGTCTTGGACTTACACTGTCAACAAGTTACCAAGATAAAGTCAGTGGTATTAAAGGTGGGGTAAGCGATTTTCCAAAAACGCTTTAGAAAACTGATTCGGGCCGAATAGCAAAACAAACTTGTAGCCAATCAGCAGTAAGGGGCGTGTCTACTCATGATCGAGGTTGCTTTGTTTCTTCTCGATAGGTGAGTAACACTGTGCCTGTGCCGGAACAGCTGAAGTCTGTCTAGTACACTGGACGCGACAAAGCGACCGTTGAAAATCATTTGAAATTTGTCAATACGTCATGAATAGAACGCAGCAGCAGTTTTCTGTCAGGGATTTGTCGTGTCGTGCCACATCCAGTGTAGACCATAGATATGTATATATATCTATGGTGTGGACAGCATCACTGATTATAATGAGTTCTATAGTATTTTGTTGCGCCACGCCACTTGCGTCCGGTGTAGACACGGTGTAACATTGAATTTGCTTTGTTTCACAGAACTAATCGTTGTCTGGGTTGCGTTAGTATGTGTGGGGCGGAGCTATCAAAATAGGGGCGAGACCCTTTTGGGGTAGGGGCGTGTTTATTTTGGTGATTTCAAATGTCAACATTGGCTACCAGAAATCGCTTTACCCACCTTTAAGCTGATCATGTGATTTATTGAGGAAAAAATACTGAGTGCAACTTTAAAATGTGTAAGACATTATCTTATTGGTAACACTTTACAGTAGGGTCACTATTAATGAGAAATATATTTTTAAAGCATGTATTCATTTTTGTTAATGTTAGTAAAATTATAATTGTTCATTATTCATGTTAGTTCACAGTGCATTAATAGTCCAAACAGCTGATAAAAACATCACAATAATCCACACCACTCCAGTCCATCAGTTATTGTCTTGTGGAGTGAAAAGCTGTGTGTAAGAAACAAATCCATCATTAAAGTGTGTTCAACTTCAGACTGTTTCTTCCAGCTAAAATGTGAGTCCATAATTTGTAATTGGATTACTTGTGGATTACTGTGATGTTTTTATCAGCTGTTTGGACTCTCATTCTGACGGCACCCATTCACTGCAGAGGATCCATTGCTGAGCAAGTGATGCAATGCTACATTTCTGCAAATCGACCACAAAACTAGGTTAAACGGCTCACTTTACCCCGACTTGACTTGTAATTTTATCATTAAGTCCCCACCCACCTCTTTCATCAAGAAAGCAAGCCAAACCAGTTTACCCTTTACAGAACCTTACACTTATTTAGACTATAAGAACTGTTAAGCTTCGAGTTTAGTGTCCCTGCAGTGTCTGGTGCACTGAAACACCAAAGCACAAACTTTACTGATGCACAGTACAATTAACTACTATCATTAAACAGTTCTTCAGAGGAATTTGAGGTAATACTTTTTGGAGAAATAGGTTAAGTACTTTAAACAGTTCAAAGTACATCTTCTGAGAACTTTAATGCAACTTTAAATAAAATGATAAAATAATTCTGCTAAATGACTAATTTACTTTCTTAGATAAACTTACCTTACATATGTGTGTGTGTGTGTGTGTTTACATTGATTAGAATTGAATTACTGTCGTAGAAAATGGAATTGAAATTCCATAAAACGGAGTATAAATTAATGATGAATGTTTTTATCCTGTTTATCGTCAGCTTTTTTACAGCTTATAAGTCACTTTATATATAAATAACAGATTGAAATCTGGAAAATTATATACTTTTTTTTTTTTTTTTACTTTACTGTGTAAGTAAACTAGGGGTCTTAATATTCAAACACCCCTCAATATAAAAAACAAACACAAATAGCCAAATACTTAAATAAAACACTTGTAGTACATTAAAAAGGTACAACAAATGTTACTGCACTTTAACTTGAACACTGTAGTTAGTAACACTCTAGAAGAAGCTCATGCCAAACACGCATGCACAGTCTTGTAATAACCCATGGTATGTTGTTTTTGAGAAACTCCCTGCAGACCTGCTCAAAGCAACATTAAATCGAAACCATACCGAATTGCAAGCAGTCCGTCTTTGTATTATCAAGAACATAATAAATGGCCATCAAAAGGTTGGAGCGTGCTTGTAACAATACAAAATCAAGGCAAAGAAGTGCTTCGGTTTGTAGCAATAGGTGCTGTAAGCAATTTTCTGCCAGACCTACCAGATCTTGTTTCGGCATCACGACCACTGCACTTTCTTCAGCTTCCTTTTCGTTCATCTTGGTTTGTTTACGGACTTTGTAAAGTCGCTGTTTGTCGTGAGTTTGACTTCAGAGCGCTCAGCTGCTGCACCGCGTAACGTCCATGACTGAACGAGGAAGTCCGGGATCGCTCGAGACTCTACCTGGGAACTCAGGTGTTAAGACGCGCAGGGTGTGATTGCAGAGGAGAGGGCAGGAAGAGAGGCACGTGATTGGAGACGAGAAATAGACGACATGCAATGTTAGTTATCTGATCATCTCATTGCTTGTTGCTCATTATATTTATTCATGATTTAGTGTACAACGTCATTTTTTGATCTGGTGTTTTTTTATATTTTATTATTAAAAAAATAAATAAATAAATAAA